GAACGTTTGTTAAGGCTTACCAAAAGTATTAACATTATATAGATAAAAAAAGTGCGACATGAAGTTGAACAAAACAAAGTAACATTGTTTCTAAGAGCATGAATAAAATGTAAAATGTAAAGTTTCAGATCTTCGTTAAAAATCAGTACACATTTAAATCAAACATTTTTATTATAATTTTTTATTTATTGATTTTTTTTCTTTATTTATTGATTTCTTTTTGTAAAAACAATAATATGTCCAATGTTTCATATACCAAATATAAAGTTCCTCTGATAACTTCAAACAAAATACAGATCCTCAAATATACTACTCAAAATGCATTAAGGATCACATTTTATAACTTATATGTTTTGTGTATGAACAAATGTTTCTTGTAGGGGAAACGTTAACAAGTATGATATTGGTTTGTAAGCAGATTTAAAAATTGATCATAGAAGTGTTTATTGATGCAAAGAACGAAAGGGATGAAAATCAACATGTTAAGAAGACATCAAAAAATTATGGATGTCAATAAAAACTCACATTAAAGATGTTTAGCTACTTAATAGCTTGTATTGTGGCCGCGGGTATTAATTAAAGCCTTACACCGCCGTTGCATGCTGCTGATTAGCCTTTTATGGAAGAAAATGCTTTCTAAAGCATATCTCAAACAGATTCTATAAGATTTAGGTCAGAGGATCTTGCTGATCAGTCCATTTGAACAATTATAACGGGTTCAAGATACTGTTCGTGATATGAGGGACAAGTGTGCACGTTCATTATTATCAATTAGAATAAAATCGTCATCTACAACACCTTCAAATAGTCGAACATAGACATCAAATGTTTCATTAAAGTATCTCAGATCCGTCAGTATGCCGTTTAAAATGACGTGTAGATCCGTTTTTCCCGCCTATCCTATTACCGAACCTTTGACCAAACGATCATGTTCTACATGCAAAGCGCTAATCAGGCAATCTCAAGACCCAAACCCACCTTTCTGTTCAGTCCACGAAAAACCTTGATTCATCTGTGAGAAGGACTGGAGTCTAGTCATTTTGGGTCCATTAATATGGCTTTTTGTACATTCCAAACGGGTTTGAACATGCTTCCGTGTAAATGGAATGCGTGCCGCAGGTCACGGTGATCTCAACCGTGCCTCATGCAATCGATTAACAACGGTTTGTGTACTTATACGCACACGAGTAGCATTCTGCAGGCAACAACGTAACTTCTTTTGCGTTACGAAAACGGTGGTGCCGAGCTTGAATGGAAAGAAATCAGTCTTAAGCTTTAGTGGTTAAGTTCCCGACCCCCGGAATGCAATACGTTTCCAGTTGTAGGAAATAGACTCCTCATTCTTGACACAACGATCTAGGACATGTCAATGATATTCGCAACCTCCCGCTGTGAAGATGGCAGATTAAAGTATTGCAATATCCTTTTTCATCGCAGCATCGCTTAGATTCGTATCCGTCGATTTGCTATAAACAGAATTCAGTCTAAGATTGACAATAGAGAAAGTGAAACTTTGCTTAATGAAGGTTTTATGTGTATGATTTTCCTTGAGTTTCCTGTGAACATTTCAAATCGCCATCTGCTGTACAGTTTTATAGGCCTTTATATAACTTTACCTTTGTTAACAATCCAATCTTTAAATTGCGATTAAATGAACAAAATGATCTTAAACTTCGAGTAGTATATTCATATTTAGTCCAACAAATTTAACAAGAGGGCCATGATGGCCCTGGGGTCGCTCACCTGAACATAGGCCCCCAGGGCCGGGCCAGTTTAAACCAAAGGGCTTTTATTTGAACAAACTTGGAAGACACCCATTAAAAGATATTTCATGATGTTAAGTTTTTACTATACACAAATAATGAATAACAATGACTTTTGCCCCCTCCCCCCTCTCCCTGGCAGGGCCAATTTTGACCCAAGGGCTTTTATTTGAACAAACTTGGTAAACATCCATTAGAACATGTTTCATGCTAAATATCTTAGCTCTAGCTCTTTTGGTTCTTTAATAGAAGATTTTTAACTTTTTACTCTATGTATATAGGGAAAATCAATAACCCCTGGGACAGGGCCAATTTTGACCCCAGGGCTTTTATTTGAACAAATTTGGTAGACACCCATTAGAATATGTTTCATGCTAAATATCTTAGCTCTAGCTCTTTTGGTTCTTTAAAAGAATTTTTTTTAAGTTTTTTATATATGCATATAGGGAAAATCAATGACCCCCTGGGGCGGGGCCAATTTTGACCCCAGGGCTTTTATTTGAACAAACTTGGTAGACACTGATAAGAAGATGTTTCATGCTAAATATCTTAGCTCTAGCTCTTTGGGTTCTTTAAGAGAAGATTTTTTTGAGTTTTTACAATATGCACATAGGGAAAATCAATGACCCCCTGGGGCTGGGCCAATTTTGACCCCAGGGCTTTTATTTGAACAATCTTGGTAGACATCCATTAGAACATGTTTTATGCCAAATATCTAAGCTCTAGTTCTTTGGGTTTTTTAGAAGAAGACTTTTTAAAGTTTTTACTATATGCATATAGGGAAAATCAATGACCCCCTGGGGCGGGGCCAATTTTGACCCGAGGGCTTTTATTTGAACAATCTTGGTAGACACTTATTAGAACATGTTTCATGCTTAATATCAAAGGTCTAGCTCTTTTGGTTCTTTAAAAGAAGATTTTTTTAAGTTTTACTATATGCATATAGGGAAAATCAATGACCCCCTGGGGCAGGCCAATTTTGACCCCAGGGCTTTTATTTGAACAAACTTGGTAGACATCCATTAGAACATATTAAATGCCAAATATCTAAGCTCTAGCTCTTTGGGTTTTTTAGAAGAAGATTTTTTAAGTTTTTTACTATATGCATGTAAGGAAAATCAATGACCCCCTGGGGCGGGGCCAATTTTGACCCCAGGGCTTTTATTTGAACAATCTTGGTAGACACTCATTAGAAGATGTTTCATGCTTAATATCTTAGGTCTAGCTCTTTGGGTTCCTTAAAAGAAGATTTTTTTAAGTTTTTTACTATATGCATATAGGGAAAATCAATGACCCCCTGGGGCGGGGCCAATTTTGACCCAGGGCTTTTATTTGAACAATCTTGGTAGACACCGATTAGAAGATGTCTCATGCTAAATATCTTAGTTCTAGCTCTTTGGGTTCTTTAAAAGAAATTTTTTTTAAGTTTTTAGTATATGCATATAGGAAAAGTCAATGACCCCCAGGGGCGGGCCAATTTTGACCCCAGGGCTTTTATTTGAACAAACTTGGTAGACATCCATTAGAACATGTTTCATGCCAAATATCTAAGCTCTAGCTCTTTCGGTTTTTTAGAAGAAGATTTTTTAAGTTTTTACTATATGCATAAAGGGAAAATCAATGACCCCCTGGGACGGGGCCAATTTTGACCCCAGGGCTTTTATTTGAATAATCTTGGTAGACACTCATTTGAAGATGTTTCATGCTTAATATCTTAGCTCTAGCTCTTTGAGTTCTTTAAAAGAAGATTTTTTCAAGTTTTTACTATATGCATGTAGGGAAAATCAATGACCCCCTGGGGCGGGGCCAATTTTGACCCCAGGGATTTTATTTGAACAATCTTGGTAGACACTCACTAGAAGATGTTTCATGCCAAATATCTAAGCTCTAGCTCTTTGGGTTTTCTAGAAGAAGATGTTTAAAGTTTTTTCTTTTGGTTGCCATGGCAACCAGAGTTCTGCATGGAATGGAATTCTTTGAACAACTTTGGTAAGGCTTCACACAAGGAACATCCCTGTGAAGTTTCATTATGATCTGCCTTATGGTTTCAGAGGAGATGTCGTTTGAAAAGTGTGAACAGACAACGTACGACGGACGACGGACGACGTACGACGGACGACGGACGAAGAGTGATCCTAATAGCTCACCCTGAGCATATGCTCAGGTGAGCTAAAAATGACATAATCATGATGTATTAATAACAAACCACTTATCAACATTTTGATATCATTTAATCATTTACAAAAGACTATTTTGACATTATCTTTGATATCTTTTTTACATAAAACATAATTGACTCGTGCGTCTCGGAAAATAAATAAGAAATATGATTTTGCATAAGTGACTTTTTGACAAATCATTACTTTCATTAATGTCATTATATCAATGCAATATAACCGAAGAAAAATACGTCTGAATATTTCAAAAAGAAAAAAGAAAACCCGAATCCTTACAATACTTAATAATGTACATAAATTAAGTTAAACTGTGTCCATTAACAGGTTCAATCAAACCTAGTCTGTAACATTTTTAATCTTGGCGTTTTGGACATTCTTAAAGGATTCTTTATTTCTCTCTATTTCATACAAAATATTTAATCTAAATCAATCACTATAACTAAACTAAATTTAAAACTGCAAAAAAGAACAGAAAAAAATGGATTAGCTAAATGGTCAATAATAAGATTACATGATTTGTCTATCGTCACTTTTGGGATCTATGAAAACAGCTGCAAGTTTACTATTAAATGCTAGTCATATTTCAAATTATGGTAAATATTGCAACGTACTAAGTTTCTACGACATAGCAAAATACATTGATACTGGTGGATGAAGTCGATCTGATAAAGTATGACAACAGCTGCAGTAAAGTTAAACAGGCAACAGATTTAGTAGAAAAGTTTCTGAATCGCTCCCTGAAAATGAGCAGAATTGACAATACAAGTTATTTATTTTTCATGATCAAACCACGGATTAAGTAAAACATCCTGAAAGAAAAGATCAATGAACACATACATATATACCAGTCAAAATAACACATGGTTGTATGTACATTCTGTGGTAAACGAGGGTTTATCCGCCCGTTAAGGCACAAAATGTACGGACCCCCGATATGTCACCTGTCATGCCCTTTTTAAAGCAAAGGACCTAACAGACCGTCACTTCGTGTTAGGGGCTCACATACCCTAGCACCCTTCGTCGAACTCCCTGCCTACTTTGTAGAGCCATTCCCCTCGGCTTAAGTCAGGATATCGGCAGTAATGTTTGGTCTCCAGTAATTATAGACGAAGTACAGGTAAAGTAAAGTAGTTGTTCCACCCGCTCTCTGAGCCACTGAGAAGGCTGAAATTAGTTGTTTATGAGAGATACAATATATACTCACGACTCTTACAAACTGCTTAAGCATAACTCAGTAGTAAAACACTTACATACAACATTTAATTATTTATAAAATTATTTATAATATATCGATACTATTTCATATCGATAACGTTATGGTACGTTTTACAGAAAAGTATTCAATGGAATTAAATTGCAAAACTGAAGGAAACTGACCTGCTTGGAATAGTACGAAACAACATATAACCTTATTAAGTTAACAAATGATTCAATTGATGTGATAAGGCTAATTATTGAAATGTAATAATTCCAAACAAATTATACTTACTGTCATTTATTACGGTATATTTTGGGACTAACATCCGTTGTCTTTAATATACAGATTAAATTTGAGATATTTTATGTTGGACGTTGTAAAAGATGGATACAGTTTGTCACTGGGTTATCACATTTATGAAATGGTGATTCTGAGAACTCATTCTTTAGTGACAATGATTCATCTTCGTGACCTCCGTTAGTTGACATTCCGATATAAACTATAGAACAGCACAAAAGTAACCAAATCTGAAACACAAACGTGAAAGCCATATCGGAAGAAGCTGATGTCACATCGTACATAATAGCATCTTCATACATTCTTTAAGCGTTATGAAATCTAGAGAGATATTTTTTTTCGAAAAGGAATATCGCTCGATTACCCCTCCAATATTGAACATTTTCAACGTTAAACGATACTTTCTTATCTTATTTTCACTTTCATCAAAACTCTGATACCTGTTCCTTTCCTTTCAAGTTTATTATCAAAGATAACTTTACCATAGAGAGTCATTGATTTCTTTATGAACTTCCTGATCTTTATTGTCTTGAACTTGTAAAGATCATTGACCTGACTTTTTCTGAAATATGTTCAGTTATTTCTGATGTTGATTATGATAAACTGCATTGATAGACTTTGATAGGTTTAGGTATGTAAATGCAGATTTCAGTAATTTCCATTGTCTGTCAGTGATTCGTTTGACAATACTTTTGCGTGATGATTACTGATGAATTCAGGCCAATAATTGATCATTTTGTGTCACTGACCTGTATAATGTGTTTTTCATAGGATGTTATGATATGAAACAAGAAAAAGAACCCCAGCTTATCTACAATTGTATAGATTATGTTACCTCATTTATTGTTTTATCTATAAATATAGTTCATTGACATTTGTTAATGTTTTCGATAACATGTTCAATAATGGAGGGGAATGTTAATTGCTTTCACGCAATAATCTCTTTTGCAACATTAATATCGTACCATATTTCAAAACACTTTAAAAGTTAGTCTGCAGATTTTCTGCACGATGCCATCAGCTTCTTCCGATATAGCTTTTACGTTTGTGCTTTCAGATATGGTAACTTTTGTATTGTTTCCAAGATTGAAATATTGATTTACATCTGACAGTCAACAAATGAACGTCACAAAGATGAATAAACGACAGAAAGAATTTGTTCTATGAAACAAGCTTCATAAATATCCTGAATTTTAAAAATGGAATGCTCAGTGGATATTGTCATAAAATAATTAATCTTAATTTTGCTGTAAAATCAAACAATATGTCAGGTTTGTAGCTGTCACACACAATGAACATGGTGATTTGTGAACTCAAACTTCTTGATAATGTCAAAACAAGTTTGATAAATCGTCCCGCGATACCAGGCATTGCTGAAAATATTCAAAAGCGAATTTTATAGATAGTCGTCGGATTGTTGTATGCTGCTGCACCAGAAACAATAAGTTCTGTTATTAATGGTACTTTAAAATACTTTATGTTGAGCATTATATAACGACCATATGGACATCGGAAACTACAATATTGTAAAAGTCCCTCTTGTTGTTAGCTTCTGCCCATCCAGGTGTACTGAAAAAGGCCATAAAAACTTTGAAGATTGTCATAATTGTTTTCAATTCATTATTTTGTTGCACATAAACAATCAGTAACTCGCGAAACACATTGAAATTTCCATACGTTATCGGTAACGTTCACTTGGGAAGTCTTCAGATGAACTAACACCATTGAGGATTAAATAGTTCTCCAGTTATTGTGCGCGGTCTTAGAGCTGTTGCACTTATTCATTATCCGTCATGTACAGACTCACTCAAACCAAGTCTGCAATGTTCAGATAAATGCTTCCGAAGGATCACTTTGTTTCCAGATTTTTTTACTAACTTATACACAAACTTGATCATAACAAACACCCACCTTCTTCGAATTTGCACATTATTAAAATAATGTATATTACAATCTTATCTGTTTCATAGTCAATGTTGTGTGCAAATTTAATAGAAAGGAGTCGAGGTCATAAATCGATACCAATGAATATTCATTGATGCTGCCTTCCAGAAGCCCCCTGTTTTTCAAACTTAAGTTGTAAATGTTGGTCCGTTTTATGGTTTCTTAGGTTCCATTAAACCGTTTGTTAAATCGAATTGCCACATTCAAAAAATACATTTACAACTTAAACTCCTACTCCTAGTAGACTTGAATGTCAAGATATGTTTAACCATTTCATTTAAATTGGAGTATAGAACCAGAGCGTGCCATTGACGGAATGTCTAAGGTTGTACATGTCTCTCTCTATTGTGAAAAAGAGGCTTTGGCCTCTTGATTTTGGGGGAAGAAAACTTGTAAAACTGGCGAATTTTGAAACGAAAAAGACTGGTGCAAGTTTTGGGATATATTTATATGAGCCGCGTCACGACAAAACCAACATAAAGGGTTTGCGACCAGCATGGATCCAGATCAGCCTGCGCATCCGCGCAGTCTGATCAGGATCCATGCTGTTCGCTACCAGTTTCTCTACTTGTAATAGGGTTGGTAAGCGAACAGCATGGATCATGATCAGACTGCGCGGATGCGCAGGCTGGTCTGGATCCATGCTGGTCGCAAACCCATTATGTTGGTTACGCGGCTCATATTTTTCAACTCAAAAGGGAAGAGGCCTATTATAGACATCTGTTATATAACGTAAATATAACGTTGTCACAAGAAACATTATAGCACTACAACGGTGTCATTTATAGACGCCATATTCATTGCTGCAAGGGACTCGACAATCTTTTTAAATGATCAGACTGTAAATATATATCTTCCATTTGTAAATAAATTGATTAAGGTCAAGATAAATAATTTTTGAAAAACTTAAAAAATCTTTTGCTCCCCCCCCCATTGTCAGAAAAAAATCATTTTTAAATTGTGAAAAATGATCTTTAAACGTTTTTTTAAGCTAAAAATTTTCCAAAAAAAATCATTTAAATTAATTTTGGGTAAATTTGGGTTCTTGTGCTTTTGGGGTCCCTTGGGCAAATTCTAAATTTTGATTAAAATATTAGGGGTCTGGGCGGGTTTTTAAAAAACCAAAAATAAAAAACGGAAAAAAAACCCAAATAAAAACCCACTTTTCATCAAAATTTCTATCAAAGATTTTTTTAAATTAAAACATTATTTAAAAAACCTTTAAAATCCCAAAATGTATTTTTTCCGGGAAACTTCGAAAAAAACTTTTAACACAAGGGGTAAAAACAGGGTACACATTTTTTTTTAACGCAAACAAACGTGTAAACTTTTAAAACTCCCAGCAAAAAGTTAAATTTAACTTTTTTCAAAACCCACACTTTAAATAAACATTTTAAAAATAGAACATTTGAAATTTTTGGAAAATAATGCATTTCCCATTTTTAAAAATCTTAACAAAAATTTAGATACTTTTTTACTTTTGAACTGAAAAATTAAAAGAATTAAAAAAAAAATTTTTTTATAAAAACCTTGGTAATATTTGTTAAATTTTCATGAAATTTATTTTCAGTTTGGGGTTTACAAAAGACCATCAAAATCATATAAAACCACAATCAATGACTTGTGCATATTATTAGCAAGGTGATTTGTACTTTGAACAAAATTAGTACGTTTTTACATGAAAAGCCGAGTCATTCTAGTATTATAAAGTTGAAATTGTATACGAAAATTAATCAATCAAAGGAAGTGCATTTATTATGAAAATTAAGTACAGTTTCACATTTCGTTAATCTTTCAAAAGACGGCTCAAATTTATGCGCTGTTCAATTCGTATCATGAATTATAAGTAATGTTTAACAGTTATGAAAATCAGTGTTTACTGTAAGCTGACTCATAATTAAATTTGGTTTGTTTGATTTTCTATGCTGATTTTAGAACATTTTGGTCACACCTCGGCCATCGAACCACTTATCCGACTTTCCTGGATAGCTAACCAGTAAGCAAGATCCCGTAAGATTTCTCAATCAGTGGTCAGAGACAAATGGCCATTTGACTCAATGTCCGAAATCAATTGTCACAAACGAAGTAGCGGCTCTCGCATTACTTATCTGATGGTAGTTGTGCTCAAATATTCCACAGTGAATGAATTATTAATCCAAATGCATCAAGTCAAACAATATTGATCATAAAATGTTCATAAAAAATGCAGTTGGTTTTGTTAAATGCATCAACAACATAGTTAAGTCAATTTACCGTTTGCACAACGGTATTCATTGTTACTTAAAAAAGTAATAAGTAAACAGAAAATCAAGGCACCATATTGATAATTTACAAATGGCTTGTCTATACAAACTTGTTAATTTGTTACAAAGTACAGAAGAATAAAAAAAATCAGCTATCATTTACAGCTTGTACTCATTTTTACAATGTAAAATAATAAATGCTTATTTACATTTTCAAAATACATGAACAAAATGTAAGTACTTGTTTAATAAATATACATATCCAATTTTCCTTTATGAATATCACTAGTGAAATGAAAATATCAAACAGTATTGCACAAGGCTTCATTAAACACAAAACTGAAGACAAAAAAAAATTGTAATCTGAAAAGTTCTTGAAATGTTGAAGAAAAAAACACGCCTAAAGATTCCGGCAACATCAGCACATTTATATTAATATATGTCATAATACATAATAAATACAATTACTACATGTATGTGTGGTCGGGAACACAGTAATTGTTACTAACTACCTTCTTCAGCACTTATTATGCACAAAAATACATACGAATTTTTAAAATATATAATAAAAGCTACCTTTATAGCAATAAGTAGGTTGATGTTTTCATTTCAATTGATTACTTACTCTTGTCATTGTATTTCTAACAAATCAGATAATTTTCGTTACGTTAAAATAAATCATATCGACCAAAAAAATATCATTGAAATAATGTCCTTATAAAAAGAACGATGGACCCAATATAAAAAGTTTAACAGAGAAGTTCATGATTTACTTTAACCATCTTTACTAGTCAACATAAATTCTAACCATTTCTTTAAATCAATGTTTTACTAACACAAAAAGCAGCATACGATAAAACTTATCTTTATACAGTTTTAAATACTGACATTAATTCACTGGTGATCATTTTTGCATTTATGTTAAAAAATACTGATTATAACTTACACTAAGGAATGATTCTGGATAAAACATATATGAACATATTAACAAAACGAACAGTGACAGATTGCGATGTGAAGCAGGTTTTAAAGCTTACACAGCAAACAGTAGATAAAAATGTGAGTTCTATAATTTGAGAAATATGATAATTAAAATCGAAAAAGAATCTTTATTTTAATTTAAAAGCCAAGTTCACAACTAAACATATTAACACATTCATTTACTTTTTAATACCAAAAACCAGTCTTTTATTAAATCATACTTTATTAGTACAGTTCAAATACATTTCTAGGGAAAAAAATCCACAATTCTTATCTGTATTAACAAACGCCTTATTTCCCTTTTCCATACATGTGAACTTTTTTTGATGATCATGTGGGAGATTTTACTTCAAAAATAGGGAGATTTTAGAATTTGCAATAAATTAAGAAGGAAGTTCTGACATCAAAAATAGGGAAATTTCTTTAATTTGTGAAAATACCTCTTATTTTAAGAAAATTTTTGAAAATATGGCTGCAGAAAGTGGGAGTCTCCCGCTAAAAGTGGGAGAGTTCACATGTATGCCTTTTCTTAATTTTTACTTCAACAATAGCAATTTCCGAACCTACATGTACATAGCATGGGTTTAAGGGTAATTCTTCCAAAAGAAAGACCAAAAGTGAATAAAAAGAAACCCCGTGATTACTGTACTTTACTAAAGCGATTAAAATTTTTTTCATAAATTTGAAGTCAACAAAACTCAATTAAGTCTAAAACCCAAAATCATCTTTTCACATTTTATTCTAGATCCGGTAAACTTGGTTTAAAAAACTTGTTATACCCCAGGAAAGGAATTTAAATCCCAAATTATTTGGGAACGTTCCAAAAAAAGTCTTTAAAGGGCCCGTAAAAGAAGATAAAAAAAATAAAAAAAACATTTTGCAGGAAATTAAAATTTAAGGGAATTTGTATATAATTTTTTAAAAATTTTACTTAAAAATTTTTTAAAATTTTAATTTTTTTATAAAAATTTTTATTAACTAAATTTCAAAAATTGGATAACATGGGGCATAGTTTTATTAGAACATCCCCTTTAAAATATATTTAACTAATTTTTAGATGCAAAGACAGGTCCAAATTACAATTTTGGATATAACAATTTACAAAAAGGTTTTTTTAAAAAAGTTTTATTTCCATTTTAAGGGCAACAAGGTCTGTTTACCCCCATTGAATTAAAATTTATGCTATTCTATTAAAAAAATTTTTTTTGATTTTTAATCCCCAAAATAAATTGTAGGTTTAGTGGTTTCAAAACATTACTTACATTACAAAAATTTTGTGAACATTACAAAATTGAAAAACATAAAATTGCCCGTCCTTAACAGTTTTGTTTCCTTTTTCAGCGGGAAGGCCATTTGGTCGACGCAAACCCGAAAACTATTTCCCTTCTGCATGTTACACCAATCGGGAAACCAAAGGGCCATTTTTTTATAGGAAACATGATCAAATGTTACCATTTGGGGTTAAAAGTCCAAATTTTTTTTGTTGTTTCAATTTTCTTTTTTTGGACACAGAATTTATCCCCTTGGCTTTGTAAGTAGGGTTTGTAACGATTCCATTTCTTTTCCGTCGGGTTTCAGGTGATCTCATTTCTAAAGCACTCTGTCCCATGAATGGTTTTGCGGTCTGTTCGGGTGTTTTCTTCCTTTGCTGTTCTAACAACTGTAAACTACTTTTTAAACTTATATTTGGATGACATGGATTTACTTTCCAGACCTCTTCGTCACTTATTTCCGCATTATATGGGTTCATTGTAATGTTTATAGTCGCAGACGACAATGTATCTTTATTAAGACTAGAATATTTTACGGGTTGTTTAGAGTTGGTCTTTTTTGCACTTGTTTGTGATGTATGACTTTGATTATCTGCTCCTGAATTACAAACACCCTTGCCAACTGCTGGCGAACCCATTGGGGACGATACGGGGCTTTGGGGGGCACTAAAGGGAAATAAAAAATTTTCTGATTGGGCGGAAACCCATTTTTTTTTCATTGAAACGTTGAAGTTGGCCTGATGAATGTAAGGGCAAATTTACTCTCAGTTAAATAATTTGTCGGGGAAGAGGGTCAAAAGCACTGCCCAAATGAGCCTGATTGGGGTTTAGCTTGTTAAATAACTAGAAATTTTGGGTAATTATTTGAAAACAAAATGATTTTTTTCGGCAAAAGTCGAATCTGGTGTTCTGAAAGGGAGCTTTAACATGGGAAAAAACCCCATTTTTTAACCCGGGGTTGGGGGTACCAGGGCGTATTTTCACAAATTGGGAAATTTAAAATTTTAAAATTTTCATTCCCGGACGGGGTTTTGATTGGAGCAGACGGTTTTTGTTTTCATTACTTTGCACCCGATGCAGAAAACGGAAATACGACTTTTTTTGGGCCAGTTTGGGAAATTGTGGGACCCTATTTCCCCTAAAAAGTTTTAAACACATTTAGATGTCCACTTTTTTAAAGCACCTTCATTTTGGGAGTTCTACCAAACTGATTTGCATGATTTGGATTGGCACGAAATTGTAACAAAAACTCGAACAACTCATCATGCCCCTTCCTGGGAGCTTATACAAAAGCAAGTGGCACCTTTGGGATTACAGGTATGGTCCACATTGGGGCCTTTCTTCTAATAAATATTTGCACACCCCTTGCGTTGTCCCGTGCCCAAGCAGCGGATTGCCAGAGCCGTCCCTATTGTCATTTGTCAACCCGGCATCTAATGAAGCCCATACCTGACAAAAAAGCACTTCAAACTACTTCATAATGTCCCTGCCATGCCGCCACATGCAGCGCACACTACGGTCCTTCCATGACTTACCAATCTTAACCTTTGCTTTCCTTTTTTCTAAAAGTAAGCCAGCAACTTCAAACTTATTTTCTAACGCTAACACATACAGAGTTGAGCGGCCATCTGCGTCTCTGTAATCTATATCAGCTCCAACACTATGTAAATAGTCAACACAATCTTTGTATCCTTCAATAGCAGCTCCCCTCAATGCCGTCTTCCCATCATGTGACTTTTTATCGACGGAAGAGTTGTGTTCCACAAGAATTTTGACTACGGGTAAATGTCCTTCTTGCGCAGCCAAATGTAATGGAATACGACCATCATTGTCTATCTCACAGACTTTTGCTAGATGTTCTATCAGGGTTAGTGAAACCTGGAAATACAGATAAATTGACCAAATAAAATGACAATTACTAATAACAATTTAAGAAGAGGGAAACACAAACATTTTTAGATTAGTATCAGCTTATGAATTACTTTAAGGCAACCTTTTGAAAGGTTTAACTATAAAACGTCAATTGTTCTCCAAACAGTTTTTTCTTAATAACCAAAAAACATAAAATTTTTTTAAACAGGTTTTTACAATATATGGGCAAAACACTTGAATTGAGATGTCATTTCAGTTTTATTATTATCTTTAAAACAAAAAAAAAACAGTAAAAAATTTTTATTTAAAGGTAATATCATCAAACAAAATGTCATTCACATTGTAAACCTATTTTGCCAGTCCAAATTTTATTTTTAGATATTAAATGAAAGGGATTTTAATCAATTTTTGTACTAAATTTTGATACTTAAAAATCAAACTTTTAAAAAGGGGTAGGGCTTAAATTAAAACATAAAACCCGTAAATGCAAGATAAAAGGCTTTTAAAAAAGATTAAAAAATTTAATTTTCCCAAATAATAAAGCCCTTTTATCAAAAGTCTAATAGGGGGAACCATTTACAGAAAGGGGGGGTATTTTATGAATGAAAATATCGAGAGGTTTAAAGGTTAAATTATTTTTAATTTTAAACCACAAATTAAAATCCCAAAATTTAGCCCTGTGACCCAAAGAAAAACAAAAACCCTTTTATTCAATTTGTTTTGTCTTTGGGTATTTTTCTAATTTTTGGGAAAACTAAAAATTTGCCCAATGTATTTTGGGTTTAAAATCTGTACAGGAAATTTTGGGAAGGTTTTAAAAAAATTTATAAACCCACACAAACAGAAACTTTTTAAAAAATTTTACATGAAACAATAAAAATTTTTGTCTCTTTTTTGTATTGGGTTTAGGGAATTACCCAATTTTTTTAATTTTTTCATACAAATATATAGCGTCAATCATGGTTCCAAAGGCCTTTTTCTCAAACATAAAAGTAAAGCTGAAAATTTTCTTTTCTGTGTATGTTTCCCCCCATTAAAAACTTTTTGCTGGGTTAAACTTTTTTGGTTTTGTATTTTTAATTCTAGTAAAACCTTTAAAAATTGTTAACAGTAAAAGCCCCAAATTTTAAAACACATTTTTTCAGATAGTAAATGTTTAAACTGTTTTTTTTTTTTTGTTGTTTTTTTTTGTTTTTTTTTGTTGTTGTTGTTGTTTTTAATGAATGTTTTCAGTTTCAAATAATAAACCTAAGCTGACAAGCAAGTGTGTGCTTTTAAGGTAATATAGTCATCATGGCCTCCTGAAAACCTCCATGTCTTATAATAGACCAAATATTTGTTATTATGACCAAGAGATGAAAAAGAGTTTCAAAATCCATTGCTAATTAGATTTTATCAAATACTCAAATTGGCAATAAAAGTTTTCTCTCAATGATTATGCATAAACATGGATGGAATACTGCACATCAAAATATAAGGACTGTGCCATTCATACATTGTGATATGAAAACATGGTTTGCATCAAATTCAAATTAGAAAAGGAATTTGAAATGGTTAAATTGCTGTCGACAGTAAATAAAATTAGGAATGTTTCAAGTATATAATGTTACATCTTCATTTCAATATCATCATAAAATTGATATGCGAGATATATCTTTTAGGTCATAAAAGGTGATACATCTCAAATTATAATACTGCCCTAGTGGCTTGCTAATATATGTTAATCTTACCTAATGATATAGTCATGTTTCACAAATCTTAAGAATGTATACTAAATAAATTTTGCACTCAAACTTAAAAGACACTATAATAACCATAATGGAAATGAAATTATATGGCAAACCATTAACACTTGTGTAAAAAGAAATGATGTACATAATTAGCTGAATAAAGTATTGTTTGTTCGCATTTTCATACATTTAAAACAATGTTTAGTTTTGGACTGCTGTAAAAGACTTTAATTCATCATAAACATTTTACTGTTTGCATGTGTGAGTGGGTTTTTTTTAAAGTTTAGATCAATAAAAACAATTCTACTGTATGATTTTAAGGTCAGTTCATCACAAGCAGTTTACTGTGTGTATTTATTTTAAGTTACATCATTATATAAGCATTTTATTGCATGTTTTAAAATTCAGTTCATTATAAGCTTTGTTACTGTGTTTTTAAAATCACTTCATCAAAAGCATTTGTATGTCACCAGTTTTGTTGTTGTTTTGTTTTGGGCTTTTCTTCTTTTTCAGTATCAATTATGCATTATAAATCATAAGGTAATTAATGACTTGAATTTGATCTGTCCATTAATTGAGGAGCACACTGACCTTGATCAACATAACTATCAATTACTAGAATGAATATATACCATATAAAATATGTAACAATATAATCCATCTAAATAAATCATCATCATCTGTGTTGGAATGTATTGTATACATGTATGTAACTTGGGCAATAGGATGCCCGAGATAGTTATGAGATACTTTTAAAATTACTTTTTTGTGATGTTATGGTAATGATAAAATAACTATAGATGTGTCAGACGAAATCTATACTGCTGGTACATTAATCTTTTAATCTTATTTTTTATACCCCTTTAACTGATAATGGACAGTATCAATTTGGAAGCTGGACAAGTCATCCATTCAAGAAAAATATTTATTTTTTTTGCTTGGTTGGGTTTTACATCACACCAACACAGTATAGGTCAAATTATAGGCAACCTTCCAGCTTTACTGATGAAGGAAGACCTCTGGTACCCTTATGCATTATTTCAGGCATCATGGATCAGGCACCTGACTACAACCACAATAACCTTCCCTCAGCTAGCTGTAAGCTTCCTCATGTGAAATTTAGAATCCTAAGTTCCTGTTGGGATTCAAACCCACGGTGGTGATCTATTCGAGAAATCAAGCAAGTTAAAGGCTAAGAGTGGTAGCTGCAACAATAACTTATAAAGCTGTCTATTTCACCATCATAGAGCTGCAGGTCAATATTCCAATTTAAAACCTCTACAAATATAAATTGTTTGTTTAGTCCTATCTTATTTTAAATTAATATTAATCATAGGCAGTTAAGAATTCAAAGCAGAACAAAATTAGTCCATTATAAATCAAAGCACAGAAGGCGCTGAATTTGTTTGGGTCTCAGAATGTCAGAAAGGTGAAGGTTGTGAGATTATAAAACAATTTGTTTTTGTATAGTGCCACTAATGCTTTCCAGCATTTTAATTGTAGTAGACTAATTGCAACACTGATATTCGATCCAATGTTTATTTGACTTAAACAATTTGAAAAAAAATGAGTTGCCTTCACTGGGATTTGAACTCCAGACCTCTCGCTTCCTAAGTGAGCGCGCTAACCCCTCGGCCACGGTGAATTTATATGTTAATGGCCTGAAGAAAACCATATTATTCTAGTTAGGGTTTGTAACTACGCTTACTGTTGTTTAACACTTGTGTAAATAATCATGGCGCTTACTATAAGCATGTATATCTATAAAGAACAAGAATGTCGAACGACACATATACCCCCCTTTCTAGCCATTGACTCACATAATTGGTAATTTTATTACAGAAACTTGCCAAAAATGGGTACATGGAAGTGTTCAATAATGGAAAAATCAACGGAAACCATTTTGACATTTAAGGCCCATGTGACATTGACCTTTGACCTAATGACCCCTAAATCAATGGAGGTCATCTACTACTAATGACCAATAACTAGGTGAAATATGAAGACTTTGTGATGAATACTTTTCAAGATAATCAGCGGAGACCCTTTGATATTAAAGGCCCCTGTGACCTTGACCTTTGACCCCAAAATCAATAGGGGTCATCTACTAGTTATGACCAATCACTTTGTGAAATATGAAGACTTTGTGATACATACTTTTCAAGATAATCAGCGAAAACAATTTTGACATTTTAAGGTCCATGTGACCTTGACCTTTGACCTAGTGACCCAAAAATCAATAGGGGTCATCTACTAGTGATGACCAATCACTATGTGAAGTATGAAGACTTTGTGATACATACTTTTCAAGATAATCAGCGGAAACCATTTTGACATTTAAGGCCCCTGTGACCTTGACCTTTGACCTAGTGACCCCAAAATCAATAGGGGTCATCTACTAGTGATGACCGATCACTGTGTAAAATTTGAAGACTTTGTGATACATACTTTTCAAGATAATCAGCGGAAACCATTTTGACATTTAAGGTCCCTGTGACCTTGACCTTTGACCTAGTGACCCCAAAATCAATAGGGGTCATCTACTAGTGATGACCGATCACTATGTGAAATATGAAGACTTTGTGATGAATACTTTTCAAGATAATCAGCGGAAACCATTTTGACATTTTAAGGTCCCTGTGACCTTGACCTTTGACCTAGTGACCCCAAAATCAATAGGGGTCATCTACTAGTGATGACCAATCACTATGTGAAATATGAAGACTTTGTGATACATACTTTTCAAGATAATCAGCGGAAACCATTTTGACATTTAAGGCCCCTGTGACCTTGACCTTTGACCTAGTGACCCCAAAATCAATAGGGGTCATCTACTAGTGATGACCAATCACTATGTGAAATATGAAGACTTTGTGATACATACTTTTCAAGATAATCAGCGGAAACCATTTTGACATTTAAGGCCCCTGTGACCTTGACCTTTGACCTAGTGACCCCAAAATCAATAGGGGTCATCTACTAGTGATGACCAATCACTGTGTGAAATATGAAGACTTTGTGATACATACTTTTCAAGATAATCAGCGGAAACCATTTTGACATTTAAGGTCCCTGTGACCTTGACCTTTGACCTAGTGACCCCAAAATCAATAGGGGTCATCTACTAGTGATGACCAATCACTGTGAAATATGAAGACTTTGTGATACATACTTTTCAAGATAATCAGCAGAAACCATTTTGACATTTAAAGGTCCCTGTGACCTTGACCTTTGACCTAGTGACCCCAAAATCAATAGGAGTCATCTACTAGTGAT